GAGGACATGGTGGCAGAATTCTTGACTTGCACATGAGACCTGGGCTGGATTTCTGGTCTGCGCACCTCGTCTGTCTGTGGAGGCTTGTGTGTTGTTGCAATGCTGAACACATCTCAGCAGTGCTTCCAGACTAAGTGTCTAGGAAGAAAGGACTGGCAACTGCCTTCCCAAAATTAACCATTGACAGCATTAAGGGTCATTGTGGTTTGATCCATAGCCCATCATGGGGAAGGTGCAGGACCAAGCGGCATTTGTTCTGTCAGGCATGAGGTCACCATAGGTGAGGGGCCAGGCGTCCAACAGCAGTAACCTTGCTGCCTGGTGAGGGTCAGGACATACAGCTGTGAACTGGGGGGAGGACTGAGATTGGGCGGGGGGCATGGAACAGACAGTTGCTACATGGGGACTTGATGATAAGCCGTCTGGGGGAGCTATGTTGGGGGTCAGGGAGGTCCTGTCTCAGGGGTCAGCCTAGATTTGAGCCCTAAAGGCTGAGGGAGCATTGTGGGAGGCCTGGGAACAGTGTTGCAGGTAGAGGGTAAAAACCCAAGCAAAGGGTAACATAGGGTCGCTCCGGGGCAGCAGGCAGGTTCTCCCTTTCACCTTTAGGGGAACCATGTGGCCTGTGTGGTCTCGCTGGTTGAGGTGAGGGGTGGGCTCAGAGATTTCTTGCGCCCCTGGAGTAGACCTCGGTGCAGCGTCCGTGGGTGCCCACCCTGCTCGTGCATAAAGTCACATTCCCAAGTCCCAGCTATTTTGCCATTTCCTTTCATGCAAAACCAAAGGAGCAATTTTGGAAACTTCTGTAAGCAAATTCAGCCCTGACTGGCATTTGAGTGGATAAAAAAGAGCCCTAAGTGAGGGACTCACCCAGTCCTGAAGGCCCACGACGACGTTAAATTTAGAAGCTTCACCTCCAAATGAGGTGAAATTGCAGGTTGGCTGTGGCCGTCTCGGGAGGAGCTGCAGGTCAGCTGGGCCCTGGTCTGGAGTGAGCAGGACAGATTTAGCGAGAGTGGGCCCCGCTTCCGCTGGCTGTGCTCAGGGTCTGGGGAGCAGCTCGCCATCAACAGAGCCACTCAGCCACTGGCCCTTCTGGACGCTCCATCAGGACCCAAGCGGCAGGTTCCAGCAGGTGCTGCCCAGGTCACAAGCCACAGAGAGCACACCCTCGGAGAGGAAGAGGCCTTCCTGTCTGCTACAGAAGGTTTGGGAGCTGCATGTCTCTGTCCTTCCCTCCACTGCCCAGGGATCAGGTAGTCGCTGGCCAGCCTCCCATCCACTGCCAGGAGCCGGCTGTCCAGGGCTGCCCTGAGCCCCCGAGAGTCCCTCTCCTCTATCTTATACCTTCCAGAGACCTCTTTGACTTGGCCACATCCAACAGAGGAAGCATTAACGGCTGTAATTTTGCTGGGAGAAGTGGAGGGAGACGTTATATTCTTGTGTCCCAAGTGGGTGCACTGTCCCAGTGCAGTGATTAGATTAGAAACAGCTCTTTGGGTCACTTGTGACAGGTGTGTGCTGGGGTTACAGGACTGTCCACTGACTGGAGGCTTCCAGGACAAATACTCAGCTGGGTCAGCCTGTGACAGTCAGCGAAGGTCAGTAGTCAGCTTCAGGGCTGGGCCTGGAGGGGATTGATCAGCTGTGCTGCCAGGAAGGGGTCAGCAGCCCACGGGGGCCCACAAGGACCTGGGTGCCCCTGCCCAGAAGCCTGCAGAAAGTACACGGGGCTTCTCACTCCTCCCCGGGAACTCTGGTAGGTAAGAAGTTGTACTGCCAACCCAAAGGCAAGTGGTTTGAAGCCACCAGCAGCTCCTTAGGAGTCAGACGGGCACTCTGCTCCCATTCCCAGCCTCTGAAAACCTGCTGGATGGACAGCTAGAGTCAGTTTCAACTCAATGGCAATGAATTTGAGTTTTTTCTTAGTTTCTACTGCTGCTTTTCTAGTTTGACAAGTCCCTCTACAAACCTGCTTCTATGGGACAGTCCTTCCCCCACCCCCAGCCTGGGAAGGGGGTGTGTGTGTGTGTGTGTGTGTGTGTTTGTGTGTGTGTGTTTTCTTGGCACAGTCCCTGGGGAAGCAAATGCAGCTTAGCGTTGTTATGGGGCCATGCTTTAAAATCCAACACACCTGGCTCAAACCCTTACTCCTGCCATTCTCTACCTGTTTAACTGGGTGAGTAATTTTCTCTGTGAGCCTCAGTTTCTTTATCTGCAAAATGGGAATGATCTACCTCATAGGATGCTGGGAGAATATAATAAGATCTTCAAACCCTTGGGTGAAGCAACAGAATGCTGGTAACTCATTATCATTCAACAGCGGCTGCTTTTGAAAATAAAGTTTTATTGGAACACAATAAATACGTTCACATTTATATGTCACCTGTGACTGCTTTTACTTTAAAACCATGGACCTGGGGAGCTGGGGTAGAAGCAGAGACTCTGGTGCAAAGCTGAACATGCTGACCATCTGAGTGTGCGGGAGATGTTAGCTGACCCCTGCTTGTAGTGGTTACTCGGAACACCTAACAGTGGCTACGTGAGAGGCTGCTAATTGGGAGGTCAGTGGTTTGAGTCCCCCAGCTACTCCAGGGAAGACAGATGGGCAGTGTCCTGGAAAGATTTGCAGCCTCGGAAGTCCAATGGGGGGGTGGCTGGAAGTGGGAACTGACTTGACCAGTAGGTTGTGTTTGGCTTGGCTGCTGCTACTGTTGTTATTTCTCTGCCACATCTTGAGCCTGTGAGGTGGGGGGGGGGGGCGATGAACAGCCTTTCCATAAACGTGTGTGGGGAGCTTTTCCTGTGCCAGAGGGGAACATGTTCTTGACACAGGGAGTTCCTGTGGGAATGACAGACAAATCACCACCCACAGTCCCCCCAAACTAGGAGACCAGGGGAGGTTCCTGGAGCCCAGAAGCAGCCCAGGAAGCCTTCCTGAGGGAGGTGACATTTGCACTTGGATCCAGAAGACATGGATGAGCTAGGAAGCCAATTCTTATGCGGGCAGCTGGCATGGAGGAAAGAGACAGACTTCGGTTTGGAAATGTGGCTCCTTGAGGCCATCTGTCCACCACCTCCTCCTCACACCCTCTCTCTCCTGTTCTGAAAAGTGGGACCACCGGGGAGTAAGCCCACAGGAGGGTCCCAGCACATTGCAAGGCCGAAAGGTGCCCTAGTCTCTCTCCTGAGTTCTCCTTCCTCGCCTCAGCCGGCAGGGCTATGGGAGGGTGGGTTTTCTGTGCACTGCCTGGGTGGGCGGACTGTCTTTCTGTCACCAGTGATCTGGGTAAGGCTCTGGAATGTTTGCAATATACAGGTGAGGGGCAGAGTGTGGGACAGAGAGCAGGGTGGGGGTGGTAGGGGAGCAGCCACCAGCGCTGAGCTCTGCCCACAGGTCTGTTTCTGGTCCCCACCCACTTTGTCTTCTTTCTGGCCTGGCTTCTCCATATCCCAACCTCTGACCTTGGGATCGGGTCCCTCCAGCGCCCCCCCCGCCCCCATTCTCCTGCCACCTTGGCTGGGTGGGACAGCCAGCAGTTTCAGAGGGTCCTCAGGGCCATCTGTCCATGAGCTCACAGCAGGAAAAAACCCGAGTGTAGCTTTTACTAATTTCCATGGTGTAAATGCTCCGTCCCTGTGGCTGCCTTCAAGGAGTCCTGGTGGTGCGGTGGTTAAAACACTTTGATGCTAACCTCAAGGTTGGTGGTTTGAACTCACCAGCTGCTCTAGGGGAGAAGGATGAAGCTGTGTTTCCGTAAAGCTCTGGAGCCCTGACACGCTGTGGGCAGTTCTGCTCTTGCTCTGTCCGCGGGGCCACTAGACCTCGGAATCCGCTCGGTGGCAGCGGGTTTGGGAAGTGGCCGATTCCAGCTGCCAACAAGAGGCCAAACTGCTCACAGAATTCCTCAGACTTGACCAAGGCTCTGAGCAGACATGTGTTGGCTCCTGCACAGCGCAGATGAGGACTGTGCGGACGTCCCTGTGGCCTGAGCGCTGGACTCCCTGACAAGAGGCGAGGCCAAGGGCAGTACTAAGTGCTGCATCAGCTTACGTTCCAACCTGGCTCTGCAGCTTCCTTAAAAAGCCTTTGTAGATTGGGCCTGGAGAGTGGGGTCCTTGTGATCCAGAACTGATACTGCCCTGGCGAGGAGCGAGGCATGAAACCGAAGCAGGGAAGATTTAGGTTAGATAGGGAGCAGAACTTTCCAGCTGCTTGTGCTCCATCCCAAGGGATGCGATGGCAGTTTTCCAATCTAGAGATGATTTGGAAAGAAGAGAAGGCAGCCAAGGCCGGCCTCACGGCAGCTGTGATGGGGAACGCGGGGATGGGGCGAGGTGCTGGCTGGCTGCCTACAAAGCCTGCTGTGTCTCCTGGATCCTGGTGACCTGGATCCCGGGGCAGATCCAAGCCCTCCCGGGCTAGCCCCTCTCAGTCTGCACTCTGTGGCCCTCTCCCAGTCTGAGCTGGGCCACTTGTAACCCTCTGGAGCTCTGATTTCCCATGTCCTCTCGGACCTCCAGGCCATTGGCCGAGCTTTCCCTCAGCCCCCAGCACCCTTCCTTCCTTGCCCTGGCTAGCTTGTCCTCAGCCTGGGCGCCTCAGCTCTTGACTTTCCCCCCACAGCCCGGTCAGATGATTAATAAGGCTTCCTGTGTAGATTCTGGTGGTTTGTCACCTCCCAGGGAACCAGAATCCCAGGGGGCAATCACACACATGTCCATACACAGTGTTTGGCAGCCGTTCTGGGAGGGTTTGTGGAGAGTGGAGGCTGCCTGGTGAAGGGAGCGGCACTGGTGAAGCGAAGTAGCTCGACCCAGGCACTAAGACAAGTGTGGACTATAGAGACCAGGGTTCAAGGTCCACTCCTGCAACTACCCGAGCCTCAGTTTTCTCATCTGTAAGATGGGACAATGGGGCTGGGTCTGAGAGGACGGCTCAGGAGATGCTCCCTTGATGGCACGAGGCTGACTGTGCTCTCCTCTCCCTGCAGGTGACCACCATGTCGGTGAGGGTGCGCTTCCTGTCCCCGGCGGACGCAGGGGCTGTGGGCACCGTGGGCCGGAGTGCCTCCTTCGCGGGCTTCAGCAGTGCACAGAGCCGGAAGATCTCGTAAGTTCTGCTTCCATAGCAGGTGTGGGGATGGGTGGGGCTTGTTCAAGGTGGTGAAGGGGCTGGACATCCAGGGACCCCAAGGCTCTTGTAGCAAGCGTGCAGCCCAGAGCAGGAATGGGGTGCGAGGGGTATGTGTGTGTGTGTCTGTCTGTGTGTGATGTGTGGTTCTGGGTGTTGAGAGGAACCTCCACTTTCCCACATAATATTGTCCCACTTGCTTCTTCAAGTTGGTCCCTGACATCCACCTGGCTGCATTTGGCAGATCAGGAAACTGAGGTTCAGAGAGGCAGAGTCCCTTGACCAAGGTCACACAGCAGAACTGGTGCAGAGCTGAGACACATCCTCCCATGGGCGGGGTGAGGTTGGAATGTTCTTCCTGTTTGGTGGAGTGGGAGATGGGACACCTGTCCCAGCTCTGTGACCTGGGGCAAGAGACTCCTCCTCTCTCAGCCTAGTGTTTCCACCGAAAAATAGGGACCTATAGTGCCCATCCCTTACAGGTCAAATGGGCTGACTTGTGACAAGTGGCAGGCACATAGTAGGTGCTTGTAGGGGGTGAGGAGTGAGGAATAGTGGCCTGAAGGTCAGGACCGACCCTCTGGACGTGCATCAGGAGGTACTGGAGGGTCTTCCCCCCTGCTCACCCCCTGCTTCCTACCCCTGAGTCTCCTCTGGCCATGCTGCCTATGAATTCCTTGGAGGGAGGTGTCTGATTCTGGGGGCCAGCGAGGCTAGCCCAGAGCCATCCACCTTCCCGCCTTCAGCTGCCCATTGGACCTGCCTGGAAAAGGAGGCCCCTGAGGATGCTGCCTGAAGCTATCAGGGTTAGGGAGTTGGGCAGCTTCTCAGGCTGGTACCCCAAGGAGATCCAAGCATCTGCCTGTCCAAGTAGATGGAGTGTTAGGCTGAGGTCCACTTATGGGCAGGCCGGGTCGGTGGGCCAGTCACCAGCCAGCTCCCATCTGGCTTGGGCCCCACTTGAACCCTGCAGGAGTTTTTTTCCCCACTCGGAACACAATCCACATTGCTCTGGGGCTGATGGCCGTTGTGAAGGTCAGCGAGGCCTCTGCCTTCACCCTGGCTTCAGTGAGTGACCTTGCTCCTCAGGCCTTGCCCCCGCCCCCTCCCCGTGGGATGCTCTTCCTACTTCATCTCTCCATCTCTTCATCTTCATGCAGCCTTGGCTTCTGCGTCCTGTACTAGAGAGCATCCCAAGCCCCAGCCTGCTCCTGAAGCTCTTCCCCAGGGCCCTGTGGGTGCCCACAGAGTGCCAGCTAGGCGGTCAGCTCTCCTGGCACCGTCACCTCTTGTGGAACAGTTCAGGCCTGAGGTGTGCCGGAGGAGGGGCAGCTGAGCGTGAAATCCTGGAGTGGCCCACTTGGAAGCAGCCTTAGGAAGCTCTGATTCATCCCACGGGCATTTCGGGAGTGCCTCTGTCACCTGTCCTCGTTCCCAAGCCACCCTCCTGGGCTTCGGTCCTGTGGGGTCACAGATCATAGACAACTCAATGCTGTCGAGTTCATTCTGACTCACAGTGACCCCAAAGGGCAAAATAGAGCCACCCAAAGGGCATTGTGAGCTGTAAATCTTTACCGAAGCAGAAATATGCTTCATATTTCTCCCATGCTCTGGTGGATTTGAACCATTGACCTTATAGTAAAAGAAGGTTGGGCCCATGGCTGGCAGATAGGCCATGGTCAGTGAAGGAGCTGAGTACATGGGAGCCACAGAAGGGTTTAAGCAAAGGAAATGGAACCCCCAAGAAGGGAAGCCCCCGAGTGAGTTAAAGCCTGGCGCCTCTGGTTCTGCATCTCCTGGGCCCAGAGGAGAGTGTGGGCATCACTGAACTCTATGGGAGCACACAGTAGGTGCTTCCTGAATGCTCCTCCCCTCACACATAGTCAACACTGCCTCCAAGCTGCCCTTCTGGACTGCAATCCTGTGAGACAGCCAGTCTCAAGCGAACAGCAGGAACAATACAATAGGAAACAAAAATATAAGCAAATGATAGGAACAAAAAGAAAACAGCAGTCAATAGCTCTGGTGGCAGGAGCTGCAAAGGAAATCAGGCAACAGTGGGACAGAGGGCATGCTCTGAGGCTGGGAGGGGAGGAGGCTGAGAAAGGGGGGCGGGGTGAGGTGAACGTAACTGGCCGGTTCTTGAGTGACCCTTTTTGTTGTGCCTCTTCTGGGGCTTCACATGGGCCGCTGTCCTTGACGTGCACTATGGGGCTGCCATGTGCCCTTGTGCAAGTCCCCTGGCCCACTTGGGGATACAGCCTGTGTGACTTTTAAGGGAGTAGTTTTCTAGTTCTCAGGAAGTACTTGCAGGCACCATGCACCTGGCAGGAGGGGAGTGTCCTGAAATCCTGGAGCTGAGGTGGCCTCGCAGGCACCTGGCCTGGGCACTTGTGCAGAAGCCCTGGCCTTGATTGGTGCTTGGTGTGAGCTGCTAGCGTGGTCCCACAGGCCATCGGCTAGTCCTGCCTGTGCCTCTCCTCCAGCCAGGCCTCGGAGGCCTCTGGACTGCCCACATCCTAGCAAATGTCCCCTCCAGTCTAGAGCCAGGCTCTGCCTCTCACCTCCTCCCTCCAGGACTTCTGCGCTTAGGAGAGGGACTTCTACCCCACAGCATCAGTCTTCAGGTCCACGGGCTTACGTCGATGCTGAATCCGGGCAAGTTGGCTCTGATGGCTTTGAATATCCAGGGCTCTTGGGGGATCTCCACTTGCATTGTGGACAATACCTGGCCAGTGCTGCACACCACTGGCTGGCCTTGTCCCCTTTGGTCCCCCGTCCACAGGTGAAGGAAGAAGCTGCCCAAGACAACAGGGACTAAGCGAGTCTATTTTTAACTCTTGCTCTCCGCCTGGCTCCCAGGGGTCAGGACCCTTGGCTCTGGCGAGAAGGTCTGGATACAGTTTCAGGCTTCACCTTCTGGTCCTATTTCCCAGGTAACCCAAGCAGAACAAGACAGCCCCGTGGTCAAGGTGCTGAGCTCTGGGGCAAGTCAGGAAAAAAGCCTGACAGGAGAGCAGGCCTCCTCCAGGGTGGGCTTGGCCTCCTTTGTCCACCCTGTGCCCTCCCTTCGGCTCCCGCCCCTACTCCCTTCCAGGTACCCAACTGCCATGACTCACTGAGTGAGAACTGACTCCTAGCTGCCCCTCCAGCTGGTTTTCAGATTGCCCATCCTTCTCGCCAGAGCTGCTGGTAGATCTGAACCGCATACCTTTGGGTTGGCAGCACTTCTTAGCACCAAGCCATCAGGGTTCCCTTGACTCTAGACAAGACTTTCTATTCCAAGAATTTCACACTAGACTGTGAATGGCTGCTAGAAAGAGCCCATTTCCCAAGAGCTGGGCTTGGGAGGGAGCTCTGTGGGGTAGAGTCTAGGGAGTGCCGCTCATGTCAAGGCCAATCCTCTTTGGAGGTTTGAATCCACCAGCTGCTCTGAGGAGAAAGATGGGCGAGCTCCTCTAGTGTGATTTGTAGCTTCAGAAAACAGTGGCCAGGTCAGCTGGGAGTTGGTTCTGACCCGACAACAACAAACCTTTTGTGAGGAATTTGCAGGCTGTGGGGAGGCCCTGAAGTACCAGTGAACCCACTACACTGTGTATCCCCACTACATGATATGTCACTGATTCCAATTCCAGCAACTCTCCCCTGAGCTGCTGAGGCTGTAAATCTTAACAAGAGCAGCTGCACGTCTTTCAGTGAAGGACTGATTTTCAGTTAATGTATCATACCAATTTAACCTACTTTGCCAGGTGGGAGGACTGGGTGGGGGGAGGGAAGATGCACCTTGATTTGACTCAGTTCCCTTCTGTCCAGAATGACAGGCAGGGCTGCCCCCAGCCCCCAGGCCCCCTTCTTGCCATTTGTCAGCAGGACCCTCCTCCTCGAGGTGGTCAGACAGGTTTTTGGGGACCTGAGAATCCCGGGGAGTCGTGGCAATGTTCTCATCACACAGGAATGTCTGTGGGGATAGCTAGGAAGTGCAAGTGTGACCACCGCAGTCGGGAGAGATGGCCCGCACTGTCCACACCATATGAGGGGAATGAAGGTCCGGGCAGGACATTTTTATTGTGTCTTCTCACCTATGAAAGGGGAGCAGTGTCCCTGGGCTTGTAGGGGAGTGGATGGTTGACCCATAGACATCACACGGGGCTGGCCATCCAGGCACCCAGGTAAATGGCTTGTGTTGTGGTGTCAGGCTCTGTCCCTGCCCCACCCCAGGCCCTGGCAGGCAGTAGAGGCCCAGGAGGCACCTCACAGAGACTGGCAGTGGCCAGGCACCCAGGTCTCTGACGAGGTGGTTTCCTGACAGCACGGGCAGCCCTGCCCCCTGGCCTCACGTGCAGGCTGGTGGCACGTGCCATCCCAAAGCTTGTCTGGTGTGCCAGGGTGTTTAATATTTACCAAGGCCGCCCAGCGTGGGTCAGCTGCCTCCAGAGGCCACTCTCAGCCGGCTGTGGTGACTCCCCTGGCCAGACACGCAGCCCGATTTCACCATCTCCAGTGTGCACGTGTGTCACCATCCCCAGCCCAGCCGGCCCTCTGAGTGGCTGCCACACCCACTTTGTTGGGCCGGGAGCCTTGGGCACAGAGCTGGGACAGGTGCCACCAGGTGCAGCGAGAGGGCTCCCCGGGGGCGGCGGGTGGGGAGGGCTCGAGCCTGGAGTGCACACCCACCCTGTGGGCCTCGGGGAGCCAGCGGCTGAGTTCCTGCCGCATCACCCACCTGCCTGTCTGCACCCCTGCAGCAGCCTGTCAGGAACCCCACTCTCCCCAGGCTGCAGCCCCTCCCCTCCCTGCAGTGGGAGATGGCAACTCTGTGGAGGGCCCGGTCCAAGAGGTGGGTGAGTGCGGCCTTGGGAGGGGAAGGGGGAACAGCCTTTGTGGGGCTTGGGGAGGTGGTGGTGGCTGTCATGTGATCGGTACTGTCTGCGTGACAGCCACAGCTAGAGGTGCAGATTGCATGCTGAGGTTGACCTGGTGTGTGCTGACGGCTCTGTGTGCCCAGCCTGGGCTCCAAAGCCACCTTCCCTGTCCCCTCCTTAGAGTCACGTGGCTGCCCCTCTGCCATGTCCCCACTGCCTTTGCCCTTGCACTTGGCACTATCTCACGGATGATGCTCTCTTCCTTAGACAACTTAACTGTGTATTTAGCATTTTCTCTGTGCCTCACTAAGGGGTGCTAGTGTCATCCTGGACTAAGTGCTGAGCTGCTAACACAAAGGTTGTTGGTTCAAGCCCACCGGCCACTTTGTGAGTGAACGATAAGTCTGTTCTCGTTAAGATTCACCGCCGTAGCACCACGGGCTGTTCTACCCTGTCCTGTAGGGCGGCTGTGACACAGAATTGACTGGATGGCAGGCTCACGGCTCTGAGCCTTTTACACTTTATCCTTCCATTCATTTCATCCTCCCAGCAGCGCTACACCCTCTCTCACTCCCATTTTACAGATGAGGAAACTGAGGCATAGAAAGGTAACTTAGCTGAGGTCACACGGTTTCTAAGTGGTGGAGCCTGATCCAGATCCTGGCGTCTGGCTCAGAGCCGGTGCTGTGACCACACTGGACTGGATAGTATCTGCTTGTGTTGTGACCACACTGGACAGTATCTCAGCTGGCATCTCTGGCATCTCACCTCACAAGTGCAGGGGCTGTGTGTTTGGGCCACTGCTCTATCTCCAGACCCTAGAATGGGAATTGGTATCCACAGGTACTTAGTAAGTACTTGTTGAATGGATGAATGTCTCAACACAACTCCATGGGACCTTATCCCCCCTTTAACAGAAGAGACTGAGGCTCAGGGAGATGAGTGCCTATGATTTCTGAGGCTGGGATTTGAACTTGGGAAGCTGATCTAGAACTTGTGTTGTAAACCAGGTTGGTGAAATGTGGGTGGAGTGCTCGCTCAGGGCAGGGATATGGGTCTCATTGTCTGGACCTAGCTCTCCAAATTCCAACCACCTCCAAGGCTTTGCCAGGGAATCTGTATTGCAGCCTTTTATTTGTATTTGCCTGTGAGCCATGTTAGGGGACCACTGGTCAGGGCTCGGTGCCCATAAGCAGGGGTGGCCAAGGTAAATCTTCCCCCAGGAGTCCACAGCTGTGGAATACAGCATCTGCTCATGTGGTGTTAGCCTAAAAATTGGTGGTTTTTTGGGGTTTTTGTTTTAGCCATTACACTTAGTCTTCTCTGGTCTCTAGACACCTTAACAGCAGACACATGGTCTTGCAAATCAGCAACAGCTGTGGGACTAGGATAAGAGAAAGAGTGTTTCTCACACTGAGCAGCAAGACTTAAGGCGAGCAAGGCTTGGGGCTACAAGACCCAGATGAGAGCAAGACCCTGGTGGCGGAGAGACTGTGGCATTGCTCTGGTGAAACTGTGGCAAAGGGTGACCTGAGACTTCTTGCATTTGTCCTGGCCACGGTTAAGTCTGACTGTTCTTGCCAGACGTTTGAAGGAGCAGCTGACTTATAACTGCTCTGAGTCAAATCTTGCTGGATGATTTAGATTTGACTACAGAACTGAAACCAGATCCTGGACTTAACTGAGGAATTATGCCTTGAAGCCATCGGGCTAAAGCCTGCACTTGTATTGTGAGATATTCTTTGCTTCCCCCCAACTCACTTCCCTAATGAACTACATTGTTGGTACCATAACTGTGAGCCTGTGAGTCAGCAACAACTGAAACAACCTTTTGCTGCTCTGAGGCTTTACAGGTACCGTGGGGCTGGGCTACAGGCTCTTTATTTGCTTTCTGCCCTGGGGAACTGAGGGACTGCGCTATTCTTACGGTGTCTGGCCCTTTCAGAGAGATGCTCATGGCCCTGTGGCCCCAAGTCCCATTTAATTCTCTTTAGACAGCCAGCTCTCCTGAACATGCTGCCAGCTGCCTGTCCGATCTTCCGGGGACTGAGATAGGGTGCAAGCTGTTGGTCCTGCCCTTGGGGGCTGGTAAAGGAATTGGAGCAGGGTTTTGCTTCCCTTCTGCCTGCCTCTTCCTGTGAGCTGTGTTCCCCTGAGGGTAGGTCAAGGCCATGGCACTTGTCAAGGTGCAGCAAGCTCTGAAGGGTTCCCAGAGTAGAGTTCTAGTTGCAAGAGGACATTTTCTTGTTGAAGCTGAAATGATGAATTTCTAAGACAACCCTAAAAGGCAGAGGGACCCAGCCATCGCTCTTGGGAGATAGGAGATCTTAGAGTTGTCCAAACCACACTCCCGGCTCCATGTGACGTAAGCAAAAAAGAATCAATTGACTTAAGTAGTGGAAGAGCCTGTCTTCAGGGTGGTTCAGATCAGTGAGGACCGACCACCTCACGGACAAATGGACTTCATCTAGCCCCACCTCTCTGCTGGCTAGCTCCTCTCTGTGTTGACTTGATTCTCTCCTCATGGCCACTGGGCATTCCATGCGTGCGTCCCCTGACTTCAGCGATGCCAGGGGACGGAACTTTCCCCCTGCGAATTCGGGATCCATCTCCTGGCAGCCTCAGGGCTGTGAAAGTGGACTGTGGTGACTAACACAGGCCTGGGAGTGGATGTAGCTCAGGAGCTGTGTATGTGGGTGTCTGTGTGGGGTGACTCGTCGGGCCAGCTCCCCCCTTCCCCTGAAAGCACACAAATGGAGAGCAGGGTGAGGAAGCTGCTCTGAAGGGTCTCTAAGGCACTGTTGACAGAGGAGAGGGCCGGCACAGCCAATAGATGCCTACTCCCCAGTCAACCCAGCTACAGTCGGGCCTTCTGTTACTTTACCTGCAAAAACCCACCCTGACCAGGAAGCGTTGGCATTTGGTCTGCTTAGTTGTAGTCCTCCCCGTGAATTGATTTCTGACATCAGATGTTCCCCCCCGCCCCATTTTTCAGATGCAGTAACTGAAGCCAGAGGGTCTCAGCAGCTCTCGAGTCTACAGGGCTTGGTGGGACGGGAGGGTCACAGCTTGAGGCTCTGTCTTGTTTCCAAAGTGCCTGGCCCTGGGGTTGGCCGTGTCCAGACTCTCTCCTCTGACCTCTGACTTCTCCACCCCCCTCCCTCCCCACAGGAAAGCCATCAACAGGAACTCAGTGAGGTCACGGATGCCGCCCAAGCCCTCCAGGATGTACGGCACGCTGCGGAAGGGCTCCGTGTGCCTGGACCCCAAGCCCCAGCAGGTGAAGAAGATCTTCGAAGCCTTGAAGAGGGGCCTCACGTAAGGATGGCTGTTGCTTTTCTGTTCAGCCTTTGCCTTGCCAGCCAGCTGAGTCTCGTGGGGCTCTTGTCTGTAAGAGGAGACTCCTGGCTGTTGGTGGCATTACAAGCATTTCCTAGTGTGGTCAGGTGACACAGAAGTGATGGGCAGGAGGTAAGAGGGACACAGGGTCTCAGCTGTCACAGCAGAAGGACAATTTCTCTCCTAATTCACCCTTATTTTTAAACACACCCTTATTTATAAATGGGACAGCTGGTTGCCCCAGAGGAATCAGAGTTGATGAACGATTTAAATAATCTTAGAACAAAGTAAAGAACTTTGGTGGCACAGTGCTTAAAGTACCCATCAGCTGACAGGTGGAGATTTGAACCCAGTGGCTGCTCTCTGAGAGGAAGATGAGGCAGTCTCCCTCCCTAAGATTTCCAGCCTCAGAAACCCCGTGCGGCAGTGCTGCTCTGTCGTGTAGGGTCACAGTGGGTTTGAATTGACTTGTCAGCAGTGCGTTTGAGTTTTACTTGGTTTTAGGACAAAATGGTTTTTAAAGTCTGTCTTCTTCCTTAGTAATAAATATATACTCCAGCACGAAACAGAGAAAAGATGCCCGGTTACATCCAGTCTTCCTGGTCAAGTGGGGTTTTCACTGGAATTGTACATTTGTCCAAAATGTGAGGGTTTGGGGTATGAAATGCCCAGCCCTTTACTGACTCTGAATTTTGAACCAAGTGACAGATCTGAAGGCAGCCTGGGTCGAGGCAGGCAAGGAGAGGGCAGCTTTTCTCTGCTTCTCTCCAAAGACTCGGCTCCCCCTTTCCCTGGGGGTACAGTCTGACTGGACTCCTTTCCTCCCATTTGCAAGGCAAAGGGGAGCAGCTGAGACACTTCTCAGTGCTCAGACAAGCCAGCCCCACCCCCACCCCGCCAGACAGCAGGGGGTAAGGGCTGAGGCCTGCCTGGAAGTGCCTCGTCCAGGGAGCAGCCGGGCAAGCGTGGACAGAGGTGAATCTGCTGCTGTGAATGTGCTGTGGGCTTCTGGACCAGATGCCCCCAACTCTTGCTTCTTTTATCTCTTTGCTAGTTTGCTGGCCAGTCCCTGGCCCAGTCTGTCATCTCTCCCCAGACCTCTTCAATGAGAGTAGCATTGACTAGACCCTAAATCAACTCCAGGGTCCACACTGACCCCTCTCCTGCCCCACCTAAATCTGATTAAATGTTGCCTCTCTTTCCCCTCCTCCTTCACCAAGGCCTCTCCTTCAGACCCAGAAGTGCCTCTCTCCCCCTCCCACAGCACTCCCTGCCCAGTGCATGGCAGGGTGGGCGCTGGATGTGAGAAGGTGGGTGATGTCGCCTGCCAGCTTCTGGGGTCCTTCATACCCAAGACTTGTCTGGGGTGGAGAGGACATTCCTCTTCTCTGGAAGCGTGTAGTCCCGAAGGAGCAGTGTTCTGGAAAACGCTGACCCTCCGTATTTGGTGGGTGGTTCAGCAGGCCTGTGCTGGGACAGGATGGACCACAGGTCTAGACTCTGGTTCCGGTTCAAGTCTCTGGCTCCCCCACAATCCCACGGCTTCCTCTGTGCTTTCCAGAATGGGTTTCCCAGACCTCTGTGGTACTCGGCCCCCCGGGCTTCCAGCCAGCAGACCCATCTGTCCTGGTCGGCCAGGTTCACAGGCTGTCCTCCCCACGGGCCAGGGCCCGGCCTGGGAGGGGGTGCACATGGCAGTGAAACCTGGAGCTTCCAAGGCTGCTGCCTGCTTCCTGCTTCCAGCTTCTTTTCCCTTGCCCTCCTGCTGGGCCCGGGGACCAATGGCATCACTAAAAAAGTGCAGACGTAGGGGACACTGTCAGAGGGATAAACACCTAAGTGATGTGACAGAATTGTGCAATATTTCAGCAGAAATGTATTCTTTTTTAATTAAAAAATCTCTATCATGAACTATAACAACAAAACCATTTCTTTTGAACCCAGCTCATGAAGATCAATATCCCCACAAGCCTATTTTGCTTTCTGAACCTTCTAATGACTCTAGCCATGAGGTGGGGGCAGAGGTCCGTGGGGTGGGCGGGGCAGAGGTCCGTGGGGTGGGCGGGGCAGAGGTCCGTGGGGTGGGCGGGGCAGAGGTCCGTGGGGTGGGCGGGGCAGAGGTCCGTGGGGTGGGCGGGGCAGAGGTCCGTGGGGTGGACGGGGCAGAGGTCCATGGGTGGGGGCAGAGGTCCGTGGGGTGGCGGACAAAGGTTGATGAGGTGGGAGCAGAGGTCCATGGGGGTGTGGGTAAGGTCCAAGAGATGGGGACAGAGGTCCATGGGGTGGGGCCAGAGGTCCGTCAGGTGGGAGCAGAGGAGGCCCATGGGGAGGGGGGAGGGAAACGGTGAGTTACCAAACTGGATGACACGGACTCTGTGATGCCACCACTGAGAACCTGGAGTCAGATTACTTTCCACCTTGGAAGGTCAGTTTGCCCATCTCTACAATGGGTACAGCAGTGTCTGTTTGTTGGCTGCTGTAGCTGTTGTCCTGTTGTCGTCTGTTTGTCGTGCTGGCCACACAGTACACAGCGTGAAGGAGCTGGGGCTGGTCCAGGTGCTGAGGATGGGTCTGTGCTGTAACTGCCCTCCATGGCCAGCCGAGGCTGCCCACGCTCGGGAGCTCTGCCCTGCTGGCCAGCTTCTGCTCCGCTCACCGGAAGGCCCCTTCTCTTCTCCTCGCAGGGAATATCTGTGCATCCAGCAGGCAGAGCTGGATTACCTGTCCGGACGCCACAAGGACACTCGGAGGAACTCCAGGCTGGTGAGACTCCCCCCTGTCCTGTCCTGTCCCCTCACAGCCAGCAGCCAGGGGTCAGAGAAGACCCCTCTCTCACTACCAGCACGGGGGTGTGAACTCCAGTCTCGAATCCCAAGGCTGAGAATGGATTTCTGGGTCTTGTGATGACTTAAGCTAACTTGAACCTGAGCCTGGCCTGCAGGCTAGTGGGAACTTCCTCCCTCTGCCTCTCACTCTCCAATGAGACCCTCTCTCTTTCTTTAGCTCTGGAAGCACTCGAAGGCCTGAAGGTCTAGTGTGTGCATATTTGGTGCCCCTGTTTTCTAGACCCTGGCCAGCCTGGGCAGCCTACAGTTGGGCAGCTCACATGGTATGAGGAAGGAGAGTCAAGGATAAAATCTGAGCATGTCGCAGTGACCCTGACCCCATCCCTAATCAAGCCTGCTGTCCCCCTGGAGCTCAACTGCTCTGTGATTTTCTTGGGGCCCAAAGAAAATCTGAGCCCAAAGCTTGGCTGCTCTGAGTTCTTCCTGCCTCCTTAGCAGAGGATGTGTTGCTGCTGTCAGTGCCATTGCGTCAGTCCTGCTCCCAGCAACCTGATGAACAAACCCTGCTCGCCCCGTCCCTTCCTCACACACCCGAGCCCACGGCTGGTCACTGGCTCAGTCTGTCCTGTTAGGGCCTTTCTTTGTCGCTGACCCTCCATTTTAGTGTCATAATGTTCTTCTCCCTCCTCACATAACACGATAAAACCCCAAATCCCCTAGAACAAAAGCAAAAGAACAGGATGTCACTTAAAGGTGGATCTTAGATAAACTGCACTTTTTATGTTGTAAGGAGGGACCGGTCCTTCGAGAGGGACATCATACTTGGGAGGGTGGAGGGACAGTGCAAGAGGGGAAGGCCCTCTATGAAGTGGATTGATTCACGGACTGGGGTAATCGGCATGGGAGTATTGGAGACAGTGCGATTGGCACAGGACAGAGCAGAATTTAGGGCTGTTGTACATGGGGTCGCTATGAGTCGCAAGTGACTCAACAGCACATAACAACAACACAACATTATTATTATTATTATTATTATTATTATTAATTGTAATGAAAATGTACAGAGACTTTGGATTTCCATTCATTCATTCATTCTTTTCTCCCTGCCCACCCCGCCCCTCCAATTCATTCTTCTCTTTGAAAAGTAAAATTCTTTCATTGTTATATAATCCCTCCACCCAAGTCCACTTCACTATGCAGCCTTCGTTCTGGACTCCTGTCATGACAATAATACCTAATCATGTATCCCTTTTAAACAATTTTCTCTCTCTCATCTGTTTCAATGTAGTCTATATAATTTATCCCGTCTTTCTCAGTCTCCCCCCACCCCAATGTCAGTACCGTTTTTCAACAGTGGCACCATGCAGTATTTGTCCTTTTGTGCTGAGATATTTCACTCAGCATAATGTCCTCCAGGGTCACCCATTTTGAATAATATTGCATGAGTTCCTTGGTTTTCAATGCAGTGTAGTATTCCATTGTGTGAATATACCACAGCTGCTCTATCCATTCGTTTGTTGATGGGCACTTGGGTTGTTTCCAACTCTTTGGTACTGTAAACAAAGCCGCGGTAAACATGGGTGTGCATCACTTTTTCTTTTTTAATGAGACGGATTGCCACGTCTTTCATAATGATGAGCTCAAACAGCACAAGGCCGGCAGACGGCACAGGATCCGGCTGTGTTTTACCTGAGTCTCTGGACGGTGACACAGCAGCGATGCCCCAGGTGATATTTGGGACATGTTGTTGTGTGCTGCCAATCGGAGCCAGCACAGCACTGACCCTCCAGCGGGTTTTCAGAGGCAGGAAATCACACAGGAGGAGACCACCCATCTTTCTCCCATGGAGCAGCTGCTGGATTTGCACCACGTGTCTTTGGGATTGCAGCTCAGCTTCTTAACCAGCAGGCTACCAGGGCTCCCTGTTTGGGACATAGTTACACTGAGAACTTGGTTACTAACTGGGTGGTTACTTATCCTCCGACCTCCAGCTGCGAGGTACTTTGGTTCCAGTCCTGGGAACTCCCCGCCTCCTTTCTCCCCACCACTGCTTCCTTGTGCAAACCCCACCGCTCCTTAATGGGATTAGACTCCAGAAACAAAAGCCAAGCCTGGTGACTGTTTGTGGAACCCTCCACCTGGGGGCTGCTTGATTGAGAGGTGATCAACGCCCCACCACAGAATCACCCAGCCACCTGTGGGCCTGGGCCCCAGGGCAGGGGAGCTGAGGGTGGGGAGGATAGGGAGGTGTACCAGCTCCAGAGAAGTAAGGCTGGGGGGCCCCTCAGCCACGCCTCACCCTGGGTGGGCGGCAGAGTTCCAGAGGCAGATGGAGGAAGGAGGTGAAGCCAAAGTCAGGAGACCCCGCCCTGGTTCCCAGCCCCACCTCTTGCCACAGTGGGTGGGAAACTTCCCTGTGCCCACTCCACGCTCATGGCTGGATTAGAATCCTCGGCCTCAGAGCTCCTCCTCCACGGTTCTGGATGTGGCCTGCGCCCATTTCATGGATTGGCACACTGGGGGCACACAGAAGGTGACACCTGGGTAGGGCGGGTCTCACCTCCCTGGCCACTGCTGTCTCTGGTTTAGAAGAAAGTTGGTTTCTGAGAAGGTGCTGTGTGTCTGAGACCCTTTCTATTTCTTTATGTTAAATTTCATTTGATGGAAAACACAGCTTTACAGAAATGCATGCATGAGAAAACATAGACATATACACAAATGAATAACAGAGAAAATGCATACACACTTTTAAATGGAAACACACTTGAGGACATTCAGCCCTTTCTCTTTCCATTTTCACCGAGCCCTGGCCCAGTCTTCTTTATCCCACCCCCTCTAACCCTTCAGGACTATCTGGTGTTTTTTCTCTGTGTTTTCCCCTGTCACATAATCATGCAAACACAAGTATAATTGCATGTAGTACATGTAATCCAGTAGTGAACATAGAGTACAGGAGGGGATCAGCAGTTGTCTACGAAGATGAAATCCCAGTTTACACATTCTCCCACTCCTTCCTTTCTTGTGGAAAACCCTCCCAGGAGCCTATCTGTTGACTTGGATCCAGGGGTTGAATAGCTACCGCTTGATTTGTAAATGAAAGGATCCCGGGCTGGTTAACTCCACCAAGCGTTAGAATTGAGTTGATGGCATCTGGGTTTGTTGTGTGTTTTCTTTTTAAATAAAGTTTTATTGGCACACAACCAGGTCCATTTGTTTACATATATCATCTATGGCTGCTTTCACTCTGGAAGGCAGAACGGAGTCGTTGGGGCAGAGGGAGCATGATCTGCAAAGCCTAAAGCCCCTCAAAGAACACGCTCGCTGGTCCCTGGCAATCCATTCTTTTCACTGGCTGGACCCTGGCCTGGACAGACCAGTCCAATCGGGATTTTACACTTCCTAAGGCTGGAGCTCTTGGAGTGGTGCCAGCTGCCTCTCCAGTCCCCCATCTGACCTCTCAGGTTCTTCTGGTGTTTGCTGAAGTCTCCCCTAAATTTCTAAACAACCAGATCACAATCACCCCCATTTGTTGAGTATTTTACTGTCCCGTTCACGCCTCTGAGACCTAAGGAGTGGGTGCCACGGTGATCCCATCTGAGAAGTCCACTAACTTGCCAAAGGCCACACCGCTGGCAAGTAGCCACGCCAGGCTACTTACGTCCACGTGCTCACTCCTTCCTCGCTGGCCTGGACCACGGCCTGATGTCTCCAGGCCTCAGAGGATGGTGGGGCTACCGGCTGGGGTTTGGTCTCTGCAGGCCTCGTAGGAGTGTCAGTGCCTCCCCTCCTCCCCTCTGGAGTGAGTGGAGAGAGCAGAGGAAGAGTGGAAGCGGGAAAGGCAGTGTACTGTGGGGGCCGGTTGAGGCACTTCGGGGCTCAGACTGGGGTGAAGGACTGAGCAGGTGGTGGGCTCCCCAGGGTTACGCTGGTCCGTTCTTTGGTGTAGACTGAAAGACATTTACTCTGCCTCCTCTTCTTCCTGCAGGCTTTTTATTACGACCTGGACAAGGTGAGTGAAAGCGCCCGTGCCTGCACGTGGTAAGTGAGGCGGGCTTGTCTGGGGTCCCCTCTATACCGTCATCCCCCTGCCCGGCTGCCCACTAGGAAGAACATGTGGTTCTCATCCCCACTTTATGGATGGTAACACCAAGGCTCAGTGATGAGTCTTCCTCTGGGTTGGTGAGGAGCTCATGTGGACCCCGCATCCAGCACCAAGAGGAGGGCAGTGTGGGCTGGTGGGGGGCTCAGGGCACTCTCAAGGCCACTTCTCTTTCTTCCGGAGAAGCAAACCCGCTCTGTGGAGAGGTACATCCGGAAGATGGAGTTTCACATCAGCAAGGTCAGTGGGACTGGGGCAGAACCCCCAGACTCCTGGGTTGTGGGAGCCTCCTTTCCTCCTCTCGGGACAGATGGAGAAAGCTGGGGAGTGGAAGTGGGGGAGGCAGTGGCAATTGTGGGAGATTCTAGGCCTCGGGCCCGCTGAAGGACTGCCAAACTCAGGCCTGGTGTAAAGGACTGAGAGGGTGACTGGGACCTCCAGGGTCACGCGGGTCCTTTATCTGATTTCAGTGAAAAGACTTGGGTGTGGCAATCTTAGTCTGGGAAGTCAAGTCCAGCCATCCTCTTGAACAGATGGCAAAGTAGAGGTCTAGAGAGGGACAAAGAGTCATGAAGCAAAACCCTTGAGCTTTCTGGTCACACCCTTGCTGTGCCCCCACAGAGCAGAGTGGGCAGGATTTTGGAAGCCCCCCTTCCTGTTATAGCAGAGTAGATACTAGCGTTCAGGCCTCAGAGTCCGCCCCTACTCAGGCCTGGTGCAGACATGACTCTGCCCTGAGGGTCCACGTCTGGTGAGGGAGGAGGGCAGTGGTGCATGCCCATGCCGGTGCCTGCAGGTGGACGAGCTATACGAGGGCTACTGCATCCAGTGCCGCCTGCGAGACGGCGCCTCCAACATGCGCCAGGCCTTCTCTCGGTGCCCACCCAGCCGCGCCTCCCGAGAGAGCCTGCAGGAGCTGGGCCGCAGCCTGCACGAGTGCACGGAGGTGGGGGACTTGGGGGGTGGTGAGGCAAGGGTGCCAGGGGTGGGAGGTGCCCGTGGGGCCAGGCTAGAGGACAACAGCAGGTGGGGGTGTCAGGCTGGGGGGGGGCAAAGGGATGGGGATATCAGACTGGCAGGATGTGGGGACAGGGGTGGGGGATGGCAGGCTGGGGGGACATGGTGCCAGGCTGAGGGGACATGGTGCCAGGGTTGGTGGTGCCAGGCTGCGGGGACATGGTGCCGGGGATGCGGATGCCCAGCTGGGGGGTGCAGGGCCAGGGTGGGGGTGCCAGGCTTGGGAACGCAGGGCTGAGTGTTGTGCTGGGAATGGGAGGGGAAGAGGGGAATGAGGGGTACCTGAGCCACGGATGGGGCCTTGCAGGACATGTGGCTCCTCGAGGGGGCCCTGGAGGTTCACCTGGGCGAGTTCCTCATCAGGATGAAAGGTGAGGGTGAGGATGCTTGGGCTTGGCTAATTCGGGTGGATGTTGGGCCTTCTTGAGGGCCCCAGCTTCTGCTTGGGGGGAAGGCAGGCAGAATCCCAGGGCCTAGGACCCCCCCCCCTTGGCTCGACCCAGAAGTGAGGTCCCCTCCTGTCCCTCAGATAGATGTCTTATCTCATCCTGAAGCTGACCCCCCACTCTGGGAGGGTTCCCCAGTTAGGACTATGATCTGAGAGAGGTGCAGCGTGACGGGGGATGATGCGAGAGGGTGACGTGCCATCTTTGTGCTCCAGGCTTGGTGGGTTACGCGAGGCTCTGTCCTGGAGACCAGTATGAGGTATGGCCACCATCAGGTCTGTCCCTGGGCCTCGTTGGGCTTCTAGTGGGGAACCGGGGTCTCCGCCTGGCTGGTCCGAGGGCTGGGGGCTTGAGGGGTCCCCACGCGGGGTGCCCACATGCCCCTTCTCGGGCCTCGTGCAGGTGCTCATGCGTCTGGGCCGCCAGCGCTGGAAGCTCCGAGGCCGGATCGAGTCGGATGACAGCCAGACTTGGGACGAGGAGGAGAAGGTGTTCGTCCCCGCGCTGCACGAGAACTTCGAGATCAAGGTGTGCGCATGCGCCCACAGGCCCCTGCGGTTGGGGTGCCGAGGGGTGTGGGAGGGGGCTCCTGGGCCCTCAGCTCCGACGCCCCAACCCTTCCAGGTGACAGAGCTGCGGGGCCTGAGCTCGCTGGCTGTGGGCACGGTGACGTGTGACATCGCCGACTTCTTCACCACCCGGCCCCAGGTCATCGTCGTGGACATCACCGAGCTGGGCACCATCAAGCTGCAGCTGGAGGTGTCGTGGAAGTGAGTGGAGGTGCCTCACCCAGAACCAGTCCTAACGGTCAGCGCAGGGGTCTCCTCCCATGGATCTGGGGAGGGGTGTTTCACCGGTATTGGACCCCCGACCCCTGCTCCGTGGCCGAGTTCATGGTGGGCCTGCTCCTGCCCCAGCCCCACACTCCTCTCTGCACCCACATCTCCGAGCTTGAATTCTGTCCCTCTTGGGTGTCTGCTGAAGGGGGGACTGGGCAAGGACCATTTCCGGTGGCCTTGGAGCCTCATGTCCACTGGGAGCTGCTTAGTGAGGCTGGTTGGCCCTGCCTCTCCCTGACACAGGCTACCCAGAGCCCAAGGCTCCATGGGGGTGCATGCTCGCAGGGCAGTCCCTGTCCTGGAAAGGGGGTACGCTTGCTCTGCACATTTCAAGGAATCTGCTGCTTTCCAATGCCAGTTTGGGCAGGAGAGTGCCTGTCCCAGTGAAAACGTGTTGTTCTGAGGGAATTCCCTTTCCCTGTTGTCCGCTAAGGAGCTCTGGTGGTGCAGTGGTTCGAACACTCAGCTCCTCTGCAGAGTCAATGGTTCGAACCTTCCCGCTGCTCCGTGGCAGTTGGCCTCTGCAGATGACTTAGAACTCTCCGGTGCGGTCCTCTGTGCTGTGGAGTCCTGAGTCACCCTTCACTGGCTTTGGCTGGGTTTTCATTCCACATCGGCCTGGGGCAGGTGCAGCTCCAGGGGGCTATGAAGCTGTTCTGTTCAAACCCTGTGACCTGCCCACCAGGGCCTCTCCTTTCTGGTCTGTGGGGGCATCCAAACCTGGGGTCCCCACAGCCATGTGTTAGGCCACCCTCTCAGCTTCCCATCGCCTCACCTCCCACCTCTGTGGGCTGACGGGAAGGTGGGCGAGACACATGTAGGGTGCAGGGGAACCCCTCCCACACAGTGTGCCCGATACCCACTGTCCCTGTGAGAGGGAGGCTGCACAAGGGACTGTGGCCACGTCCATGCTGCCCCTGGGTGTTGATGAGTCGGTCTGTCTCTGCCCTTCTCTCCAGCCCGTTTGATGCTGACAGCTGCCTGATGTCACCCAGCCCCTCGGGCAGGCTGTCTGTCGGGGGCAGGAAGGGCTCCTTGTACAACTGGACACCTCCAAGCACACCCAGCTTCAGGGAGAGGTACTACCTGGTGAGTGGCCCGCTCCCCGGGGCATAGCCGGGCCTGCAGTGTCAGGGGGACATTCCCAGGGTTCAGCAAGGATGTGCAGAGGGCCGAGGCTGAGCCGCTGCACCCCAGGGTGCAGGAGCCCAGGTTCCACCTTGCTCTTTTGGGGCCTCTGCCAGGGTTTTCCTCAGCTGTCCATGTGGTTCCCTGAGCGGGAACCTGGGCCTGGCCTGGCCAGCTCTCTCAGACACCTGATTGGACTGGGCTGTCTGGTGGGTCTGTGGCCAAGAACACGATGCTGAAGCCACACAGCTAAATTCACACTTTGCCTCTCACACCTGCTGCATGACCCTGAGCAAGTGACCCGGCCTCTCTGGACATCGGTGTCCACAGTGGAGAATTGAGAATGCAGTGTGTGTCTGTGGGACTAGTGAGCTAATAAACAGGGAGATGGCCTGGGAAAGAGGCAGTCCTGGGTGGACGCCGACTGTCACCATTGGTCAGGTTGTTGAGGGAAGGGGCACAGCGGAGAGTTGAGGTTCCAGGCAGTCTGCTGACGGCCCAGTGCTGGAGCCTCTCTGGAGTGAACAGGACCACCACCTGGGGGCGCAGTGGGGTTAAATGCGGGCAGGTGAACACCAACTGCTGCTTCTCTGATAAGGGACTCGCGGGGAGTGTACCATCCATCCTTCATTCATCTGTTCACTTCACTCATTCAGAATGACGTGCCAGGCTTTGCCCTTGGCCCTGTGAGGTCCATGCCCTCAGGGAGCTGACATTGGGCACAGCCAGGGACTGACATCAAGGACACCTAGTGAAACAGGCAGGGGTGAGGGGCACTGCTGGAGGAAGTAGGGGGCTGCCAATTCAAATAGAGGCCGGAAGTGGGTTCTCAGATAGGACCTGGAGAAAGAGGACATGGGGAGGTGAGGGGTAGCGCAGAGGCCCTGGGAGGCTGAGCATCAGTCCCAAGGGGCAGGTGCAGGAAGGAGCCTCAGAGGCCAGAGAGGAGGGAGTCCATGGTGACGGTGGGGACCAGGCAGAGCCCTCCAGGGCAGCTTGGTGGGCCTCAGCCACCCAGAGCACGTGAGTGTGTAGAGTGGGCATCTGGGTGGAAGGAAGCCCCTCGAGGGCTCCCTGAGTGGCCAGCAGGGTGGCTCTGTGTGTCCCCTGTCAGTCTGTCCTGCAGCAGCCACCACAGCAGGCCTTGGTGTTGGGCAGCCCGAGGGCCACCTCCATTCTCAGCTACCTGTCCGACAATGACCTTCGGGGGCCCAGCCTGCACAGCCGGAGCCAGGAGCTGCCTGAGATGGACTCCTTCAGCTCTGAGGACCCCCGGGATACTGAGACCAGCACGTCGGCGTCTACCTCAGATGTGGGATTCCTGCCCTTGGCACTAGGCCCTAATACCTGCATTGAGGAGGAGGCCCGAGAGGAACCCCCTCCTCTGGGCCTTCTGCCAGAGGTGGCCCAGCTGGCAGGAGGCTCCTCTGTGGAGCGGCCTGGCTGGAGGGACCTGGGCGTGGAGAGTCCCAGCATGCCACGGGGCTCCCCGTTGTACAGCTGTGAGATCCTGGGCCCCCGGGAAGACCTGGATGAAGGCGAGACCGAGGATGAGATGGACACTCCTGGCCTGGCCCTGGAGCAGCCGCTGCAGGAGGTGCTGGGCTTACTGAGATCTGCGGCCCCCACCCAGCCCCAGCTCCGGGAGCTGGAGTACCAGGTCCTTGGCTTCAGGGACAGGCTGAAGGTAGGGCCACCCATGCCGGGCAGCGCCTGCTTGGCTGATGCATGGTGACTGGGAGAGGGCTCTGGGCCAGCCAGTCCAGGTGACACCCTGGTCGCACCCCGTAGGACCGTGCTTGGCTTTGGTTTCCTCACTGATTAGTGGAGCGACAGTGGCCCTTCTCGGGCTGGGAGGATCACACACTCAAGTGAATGTCAGTTTTAAGAGGAGAACGGGGAACAGAGAGGATGGCTAGTTCCCCGTCCATCCAGAAGCTGGCCCCAGGGCACACCTCCCCACTCCGGACAATGGAACAGCTTAACTTGTCCACGTGAGGCGGTCCCTACAGCCAGCCTGCCTCACCCCACCCACGTTTGCCTTTAACAAGGCCATGGCATCACCAGTCCCCGCTAAGGGGAGGTTAGGGGCAAGTGGCTCTCAGAGGCCTCTCTGGGCAGCTTACTCCAATTTTCTGTTTATGCAAATGTATATGAAATAAAATGCATAACACCAGCACCTACTTACACATCAGTTGATTTCTGACACCATTCTCTTCCATCTAGGACACACACTGGCACAAAGAGAGTTCCAAGGCCCCTAACAGCCACCCGCAAACGTTCATTCTGTCTGCTCAGCACCCTTCCACAGCATTAGCACCCACGTAGCACAGGAGAAAGGAAACAAGGTGCCCCATCATGGCCCTGCACGTCTAGTGAAGCCCACTGTGCACCGCTGCCTCAGGTTTGGGGAAAAACAAGCTTGAAGAAACAATGCCAGCTTTTTTTAAAAAAAATGTAGAACAATTTAACTGCTAGCACCAAACTTCTGTCACACATGTGTTTAGAAAGATCACACTTGTTTTTCCAAGAGATCTTAAAACAGTTCCATTAATGGGTCAGTTCAACTCAGCACACTGTCACCAAGTAGGACAGACTCACAGCTGACCCGCCAGTGGGTTTCCAGAGGCTGGAAACTGCACATCTTTCGCTGGTGGATTCTAATGCCCGCCTAGGTTTGGGCTGGCAGTGAAACTCCTTAACTACCAGTCCATCAGATTTTAAACGCCTTTAAGGAACTTTTATTTTTTGGTAAACTAAGCCACACTTCCTGCTATCAAGTTGATTCCGACCGACAGTGATCCCACAAGCAAGAAAGGAAATTTCTGAGAGTCCTTCTCAGGCTGTGATGTCCTGTGGAGCATTTGATGATATTTGAACCACCAGCCTTCCTATCTTCATAGCTGAATGCCTAACCACTACACTCCCAGGGCTCTTTAAAAATGATGACGGGCCACGGTTTGATTTTTTTAAAGAATAGTTACAGACATACACATTATCTGTTTGTATTTGTATATGTGTGTATATGTAATCTGTGTACCTCTGTATAATCTGTGTAACCTGTGTATATGTGAGTACATTTGTGTATGTATCTATATATGTTACACATACTTACATGTTTTGCTATCAAGAAATGAAACCTTTACCTCTATTCTTAGTGCAGACACACCTTGACGAGACTGTGAGTTTTCTTCTGGCCCACCACAGTAAAGCAAGTGCAACAATAAGGGGAGTTCCATGAATTTTGGGGTTTGCTAGTGCATGTAACAGGCTTATGCGTGTTGTGAGAATGGCCACAGTATGACATGGGACACACCATGTGCACGTGCTGTGGGGAAGACTCACTCCACTCGGGGGTACGAGACGTTCAATGTGTGAAGCACCCAGTTTGCTCAGCACAATAAAAGGCAGCCCACCTGTGCTCCCTCTCCTCAGGGCTTCCCTCTGGCCCCACCTGTAGGATGAAGGCATGGCACGCAGGGTGTGATCAGCTCAGAGTGAACCTCTGGTGTTCTGTGTGGGATGAAGCCTGGATGGGGGCGGGGGGGAAGAGGGAGAGAGACAGAGAGAGAGAGAGACAGACAGAGAGAGAGAGAGTGTGTGTGTGTGTTTGTGTGTGTGTGTGAGAGCCAGCTCTGCACTTGAGCCATGGGCCATGGATCGGGTAGGGTGGGGTGGGAGGATGAAGCCTGGATGGTGTGTGTGTGTGTGTGTTTGTGTGTGTGTGTGAGAACCAGCTCTGCACTTGAGCCATGGGCCATGGATCGGGTAGGGTGGGGTGGGAGGATGAAGCCTGGATGGTGTGTGTGTGTGTGTGTGTGCGTGCGCGCGCGTGTGTGTGTGAACCAGCCCTGCACTTGAGCCATGGACCGTGGCCAGGAGGACCCAAGCCCCCAGTGGGGGTTTTCGAAGTGTTGAGGCCGAGGACAGGACGGCAGTGGGGGGCTCTGATGACCAGTGGGAGCGGTGCATCAAGCCCTGCTCTCGGGGTGCCTCTTTCTGCTCTTGGGGCTGCATCAGAGTCTCCTTGCTGGTCCCTGAGTGCCAAGATGCAGCCTCTGCTTCCTGCTCGTTTGTCCCCGCCCTGTCTGTGCTACGTCACCCACTGAGTGGACAAGGCAGCAGGTCTTGCCCTGGCCTTGTTCTTTCTGCTCTGACATATGGGCTGTGTTGTCAGTCTTCATGACCACTAACCCCTGACAGCACTGTGCCCACGTGGTAGCCAGCAGCTGGGCCAGCACAGTAGCTGTCCCCACTCCACCTGTCCGCTCAGTCCTGCCACCTTCCCTGTCCCATGAGTGACCATGAGACTCTTCTGGTCCATTTCCTGTCTCAGCCATGGGGCTCCTGGCCCCACCATCACTGCCCCTGGCCCCTGAGAGCAGAGGCTGGAGGCAAGCCAGGGCAGCTGACAAGACACTACTGTCCATAGGTCAGCGTGTGGACAGTGTGGTGATTGGGGCCCATGCGGGGCAGGAACAAGAGCCCCAGAGCATGTCTGGGTGAGCATGCCGCCACCCTCAGGGCCCCCCGCTCTGCCCACAGCCCCACAGCGCCCGCCCGGAGCACACCTCGGCCGAGAGCCTGATGCAGTGCATCCTGGAGAGCTTCGCCTTCCTCCACGCCGACGTCGCCCCGGACGAGCTGGCCCTGTTCGGGGGCTCCCAGGGTCCCCGGTGAGTGCTCCCTCCCGCAGGGTCAGTGGCCTGGGGCCCCTGCTCCTCATCCCCGAGAATGCACTTTCTGTCAGCCTCCTAGCTCATTTCTCCCATGTCCCCCACCTTTTCCCTGCTGGGTGACCACTGAGTGAACATGGCCGCAGGCCACTGCTGGACACTCCCACTGACTACACGGCACCTGCTCGCAAACCTCTGAGCTTGCGAGTCCTGCCCCCACTTTCCAGATGAGAACACTGAGGCTCAGGGAGGCAGGCTTGACCAAGTCACAGGGCTGGAATTGGTGTAAACTTCTGACTCCGACCCAGACACGCTGGGAAGATGGGGCCCCATCCTGGGCCACAGAAGCCCCACTCCTGGGGTTTCTTTCTCTTCATATTCTCCTCGGTTTCTCCCCGGGACCCAGGCCTCCCTGACCCAGAGCTCTGGAGAAGCAGGGATTCTGATGGAAATGGTCATTCTGTCCTTCTCAACCCAACTCAGAAAGGCCAGGACCCCACCTCCGCCACCATTGCTGCGGGCGTCGTCCAGGGGTCTCACCACCGGTGCCCCAGAACTGGACGTGCTGCTGACGGCCCATCTCCAAGTGTGCAAATCTCTGCTGCAGGTAGCTGAGGGCGGGTCTGGGCATGGAATGATCTGGAAGGAGCCAAGGGTGGAGGAACCTAGGGGGTTTCTTTGAGTGAGGTGCTAGCCAGGGTCGAGGTGAGTCATCATGTGGCGCTGCTACTGCCCAAGCCCGGGGCCAAGGCTGTGGCGGAGCCCATTTCAGCTGCAGATGACACTAACCCCAGCCACGTAGGCTCAGCCAAAAGGAATACCCATGGACTACCGTGACTGACAGATTCCAAGGTGGGCTTCAGGCCCAGCTGGATCCAGGGACTTATACGCCACCACTCTGGTCTCTCCCTCTCAGCTCTGCTGTCCTTAGTGAGTTGGCATTCTTTTCAGGGAGGGCAGCGCCCACTGATGGCAAGGGCGGTCCCTGGTGGCTCCCACCCATCTCCTGCCGGTCCAGCCACCTCTGTGAATGGGGTCAGGTGGCTTTGTGTGGAAGCCCTGGTTCTCTCGATGCAGGAGCCCCTGCAGGATGGAGTGTGGCGATTGTCCAACACCTGTGTGGGCTCAGCCTCCAGTCAAAGAGTGGGGAGCAGGGTCCTCAGATGAAAGGGAGCCCCCAGCGGGACAGGAGCGAGTAGACCGGAAGCAGGGGCAATGACATCTGAGGGTGTGCTCCACGCTGACCCACGGTGGGCCTCTTTGCAGAAACTGGCCACCCCTAACTTGTCCAGGATGCTCGAGGAATGCCTCCTGGAGGAAGCGGTGCAGCAAAAGCAAGTCCTGGAAACCATCTCTGGGCTCGACTTTGAGAAGGTCAGGAAGGCGGTGTCCATCGATGAAAGTAAGGAGCTGCCCTCCTCGGGGTGGCGTACGTGAGTGAGTGGCGTATGACGGGCACGGCGTGACCGCGGCTGGCCTCCCTGGGACCCCACAGCCAGAGCTCAGGAGCTGGGACAGCGGCTGCACGGGGACTTCACTCACACGTGGTGGGAGGGACGGGGCGGCTGGGCAGCACCGACTGAGCTCTCGGAGCCTCAGCTTACCCATCTGCAGAATGGAAGGCCACCGGATAGGGGTCAATGGTGTAACCCCAGAACACAGGGCCCAACATTTCAGTTGTACATCCCCCTCCCAGGAGTCCTCTGGCACATGCCCCCGCCCCCTGGTCTCCCAGGAGGAAGCCCAGGCTGTGTGTCCTGGACACTGGTGGCACGGAGTTGTCACCTGGATGGGAGGTGGTGGCCCCCAAAGGTGCAGAGCTGAATCTGCTCAGGATGCGCCCAGGGGCCTTCCCAGCCCAGGACCCCATGGCAGGGTCTTCCTGCCCACCCTCAGCACTGCCTCTGCCCACAGTTCTCCCACTGGCTTCCCGGAGGAAGGGGTGTCTGAAGCTGTGGAGGGGCTGCACGGGGCCCGGCGGGGTCCTGTCGTGCCCCGCGACAGCGCTGCTGAACCAGCTCAAGACGACATTCGTGCACAGGGTCCGAGGGAAGTACCCAGGCCAGCTGGAGATAGGTGAGTGTCCCCTGCCACCTGGGGTGCGGGCTGAAGGGGTCAGAGGCCGCATCCTCATGTGGTGTCCTCATGCCCTCCCCTCTCATGGGCGGGCAGCGTGGCCACTGGGGGTGCCCGTGAAGCTGCAGACAAACACAAGCAGAGGAAGGGACCACCTTCCTGGGACGGGGTTCATGGCTCCCCCAGGACTTGCTGGGGGGCAACTGGCAAGGCTGGCACGGGGGTGGCCGAGTGCCGGTGGGCCTCCCCCAGACAGCGGGGCTGGGGCTCCTCCCTGCTGAAGGGCACGGTGGCAGTGCCCGGGCTGTGGCTCTTAAACTCTCACAGCGGCTTGTCACCACACGGGGCCCTGGTGGCACAGCGGTGAAGCACTCAGTTACTCACTGAAAAGTTGGTGGTTTGAACCCACCGGCTGCTCAGAGGGAGGAAGATGCAGCCGATCACGTCTGTGATCACAGCCTTGGACCTGCCCTCCTTCCCCCCCACCCCTGGCATTTCTGCTCAGTCCCACGGGTCATGGGGTCGCTGTGAGTCAGAATCCACTCGCTGGCAGTGGGTCTGGTTTTGTGGGCATTCCCAGGCCCCATCTCTAAGGGGTCCAGGTTCCGGGGCACGGGACGGTCACATTCAAGGTCTTGGGTCTCCTGCTCGGCTCTCTTGCGTTGCTTTCTGACACTGTAGGCCTTGGCCCAGCCGAGGAGCTCCATGGCGCCAGGGTGGGCCTCTGTGGGGGTACCCTACCTCAGGCACCCCCTCCTGCTCTCCCTAGTGTGCCGCAGACTCCTGGAGCAGGTGCTCAGCTGTGGGGGGCTGCTCCCCACATCTGGGCCCCCCGAGGAGCAGACCGTCACCTGGTTCCAGTTCCACAACTACCTCCAGAGGCAGGGCGTTTCTGACCTGGAGAAGCACTTCGCCCAGCTGACCAAGGAAGGTAGGGCTGGGGCAGGCAGGCGGCCCCCCTGCTGCTGGGGGAGCTGCAGGCCGAGTCAGACTGTCCTCGGGCCCCTGCAGCTGTTCTTTGCAAACTCAGGTCACACCTTGTTGCACATTCAGCCTCTGGTGAAGTCAAGCTCCCAAGGGAGGGGGTGGCTGGAGCAGGACACAGGGGTCCCCTCTGCAGGCCGGAACCCTGTAAGCATCATCTGCAATCTCACCCATAATAAGGGTGTTGGAGCCTCTGCTGTAACATCTTCCCAGAGACTTGGGGAGGCACCCCTGGGAAGGACCCCGGGGACCCTGACCCCAAGGGCTGTGCCCCCATGGTCGGAGCAGAAAGGGCACCAGACAGCGTCTTCTCTATTCCAGTGACGCTGGGTGAGGAGTTACAGTGCCCGGGCCGGGCCAGGACGGTCAAGAAGTTGCAGGGGAAGCGGCTGGGCCAGCTCCAGCCCCTGCCCCAGACCCTGTGTGCCTGGGCCCTGCTCCAACTGGACGGAGCCCCGCGCGTGTGCAGAGCGGCCAGCGCGCGCCTGGCTGGTGCTGCCAGGAACAGGAGCTTCCGGGAAAAGGTAGGGGGTGCGGCGGGCTGGGGTGATACAGCGTTAAGGGCAGAGGCTGCGTCTGCCCCTCGGGTGACCACACATCAGCATGGCCCTCCTGCCACCTTGGGGTGGGGTCTGTGCTGTGCTGTGGGTGCAGGGAACCCCCAGACACAGGTGTTGAGTCATTACCTCAGTATTCTGAAGCTGGATGTGCGTCTGGTCTCTGGGCCACCACCTTATGGGTGAATGTGGCTGCTACCCCCAGCGACTCCAGTTGGTCTGCTGTTTTGCAAGCCGTCTACCAAACACTTGGGCCCTGGATCTGTGAAGATCCTCCGACATGGGCAGAGATGATCCTGGGGTCCCAGCGGATCTCTGCTTCAACTCCTAAGCGAAAATCTCTGGGGCTGTTTCCAACAAGCTCCCAGGGGCAGGCACCCCTGGGCTATTACTGTTTTATCCACGATTTGGATATGCACACTCACCCATCACTGAGCCCAGCCAGCACCCACTATCCTTCCCCACCCACCGCACCCGTATGGATCTGAAGCAAGCCCTGGGCATCCAATTTCACTTGTATTTAAGTATGTGCATCTGAACGATCAAGGGTCTTTTATAATCTGAGTTATGTTGTTGTCCTTTTCTTCACAACTTGTTGCTAAAGAATCTGAATTCTTTGTCTAATAGGATCTAGGGAGCTCTGGTGGCCCAGTGGTAAGAAACTGAGCTGCAATTCTGAAGGCACAGGGTTTGAATCCTCTTGGAGGATGGGCAGTCTCCTCCTGTGTGATTAGCAAACAGCCTCTGAAAACCTGCTGGAGGGTCAGCTATGGGTTGTTTCCAACTGGACGGTACACAACAACAGGACCTAGATTTCCTGAAAACAAGGAGGCACAAGCTTCATTTGACCTCAGGCTCCTCGTTTCCTTGATGAGGGTGGCGTGCAGAGCTAAGGCAGGCAGCTGATCCTGGCTCCAGTCCACCCAAGAGGACAAAGTTTCTACAGCAGAGCAAGTGTCAGGTTATGGAGGGGGGAGGGCCATGCGTCTCTGCCCCAGAGCAAGGGATCCTATGCGCTGATCTGCACACGCCTTTCCTCTGGACGGCAGCATACCCTCAGCTGCAGCTTGGATGTCTGCTTGCACACGTGGCTGAAGCCCCAGTTGCTCTCCATCAAAGTGGGATGTGGAACATGACTCTGCAGGCTCCATGCGCCTGTAAGCACTTACAGTGACCGTGCACTTTAAGGACAGACCCTCGGCCACCTCGGTTTGGGTGCTGGAGAGGCCACTTCCCTGTGAGACACAGGGAGGGATTCCTGTACCACTGTGACCAGACTTTTCTTACCACTCTGCCTCTGGAGGTGGAAGGTTCTAGATCCGCACTCTCCAGACTCCTCCATTCTGAAAGGAGCAGGCAGATCTCACAGAGCTGCCTCGGGAGGGGCAACGGTCCCTCATGCTGTGGGGAGCGGCCAAGCCGAGCTCTGGACACCAGTTCCTCGGAGCACAGCCTGGCCAGCTGCCTCCTTGATCTTGCTGCTGAAGGGGCGGCCACCAGCCAAGAGTGGACTTAAATTCGCTCCTGGATTGTCTCTTCACAGGCAGAGCTGGGCTCACCTGTGGGCAGGTATCCCCCCTTCCCCTGAATCTCTCTGTCCATGATGTGCAGCTGGTACCAGCTTTATTTTCCGCTGGAGTTAGGCCTAGTGAAGTGACTGTGTCCTGGGTCTGTGGTCCAATTGGGGCAGGAGAGACCGTTAATACGGGCTCAGGCAGCAGCCTCACCTGATTCTTCCAGCTGCCAAACTGGGTAGCGTGAGTTCTCTGGATTTAGCGTTTTAAGTACACTGTCCCAGAATGTTTGAGAAATGTGGTCATGTGATGTTGGGTCGGAGCCGGCCCATAGCTGACCCTCCCGTGGGTTTTCAGAGGCGGTAAATCATGAGGAGACACACACCCCCCCTCCATCCTTTTCCTGCAGAGCAGCTGCTGAAGCACTAGGTAAAACCATCTTCCCTCATTTTATTAAGAATGACTCGAGATTTCATGCCTGAGCCCGTTTGCTAGAATCAATCTTCGGAAAGGTCAGCCCACCACACAGTAAACCAGCTCGGGTCCCGGAGCTGTGACGGATCAGCCGTGCAGCGCCTGGCTGTGTGCACTGGTTAGATGATCTGTGCTGAGACAAAGGGGTTCATCGTTTACCGTGAGCCCCCCGAGAGCCTTGGCTCCTCCCAGCTCCTGGCACCCCCTCTTCCAGGCACTGCTGTTCTACACCAATGCCCTGACCGAGGCCGACCCCAAACTCCAGCAGGCCGCGTGCGTGGCGCTCAGACACCTCAGGGTAAGCCATGGGCCCCCTGCTAAGTGAGGGGCTGGGGTGCCTGCTAGGCGCAATGCTGGGGTTCATCCTCAAAACGGTGCCACTGGGGCCCAAAGGGGGAAATGAAAGCAGCCACAGGAAAAAAAGTGTTTCTCACGAGCTGGTCTCAGGCTCCAGATGTGGGGGTCGAACAGGTGGCCCTCACTCCGACTCTCCCAGAGAATACTTTGTAGAAAGCACAATACATTGTTAAAACAAGAGAGTACAACATACAGAAGCGGGAGGAAAAATAACCCGGCACCTGGCGGAAACACGGGTGACGTCTGGCACGTCTTTGGCGTTTGCTCGGGGACCTGCAGCGGGTCCTCGTGGTGACACTCCGTGCGGCTTCAGTGGACACAGCGTGTGCGAGGCTGGCCGCACCTCCAGTCCTGCACTTGCATTTCCCCTTTTTGGTTCATCTCTGAACACAAAGCTTTTGAAAAATTTAGAGTTTTTGGCTAGTTCCTCAGGCCAAACCCCAAGTCAAACCCACTGCTGTGGAATCGATTCTAAGGGCCCTGTGACAGGACGGGGTAGAACAGCCCCATGGGGCATCTGAGGCTGTGAATCGTTACGGAGAAGCTGGGGGGTTTTGAACTGTCAACCTTTCTGTTAGGTTAGGCTGGGCTGGACATCCCAGAAATGTTACCCTTGGGCCAAGGTGATGGATGACACTGCTGAGACCCACTTACACCTCTGTGACACCCATATTATCTCAGTGTCTTCTGGGTCTGGAAGTATCTTGGTGGATGAAAAATCACTACTGCTGGTTCAGGTGGCTCACCTGTTCGTGCTGGAAGGGGTCGGCAAGGTCATCTCTGAGGAGCATGTGTTAGAATGTGGGAAAGGGTTAAGGGTCAGTGGGGAGCTGTGGGGTCCCCCACGCTGCAAGAGCTTGGCCAGGCCTCTCATGTGGCTCTGGAGACGAGGGGAGGTGAGGCGGGCAGCTGACCCGCAGGCGAGCTCCCAAGGACAGTCTGGCCTCTGGGTGTCAGGACTGAAGATGAGATGCTTCCAGTGGTGCTGTGAACGACCTCAGGGTCAACCCCAGGGTCCGCCTAGTCCTGGCCCTGCTGGACTCAGAAGTAGAGTGTACATTTTAAATCAGTGTGTCCCCCTTCCCTCCCCACGCAGGGAATAGAAAGCATTGACCAGATCGCCAGCCTGTGCCAGTCGGACCTGGAGGAGGTGCGGGCAGCAGCTCGGGAGACCACACTGTCCTTCGGTAAAGTTTCACCTGTTGCCTCAGTGCCATGTAGTAGGGGCTGGCACGTCCCCCGTGGGTGCCCCGAGCCGACCTCCACGTGTGACCGCACTTTGGCCACTGAAGTCCACCCTCATGGTTGGGGGTTGGGCAGGGCACTGAGGGCTTTTCTCCAGTGTCAGTTTGAGAACCTCAAAATCCAGCCACTGCCATCTAGATGTGGAGGTGGCCCCGGGTGGGAGCCCCTGATGTCCCCATGGCAGCAAAACGGGACACCAGTGGGGACAAGCAGTGACAGTGATGTTTTTCAGGGGAAAAAGGACGCTTAGCTTTTGAGAAGATGGACAAAATGAGCTCCCAGCCAAGAGAAGCCTTCTGCCCGGAGGCGGACGTTGAAATCACGGTGTTTTAAAAATCCTCAGCTGGCAGGCGCCCCGCAGCCTATTTCCTGCTGCCTCAACGCGGCGACTGGGCATCGGGTGAGGGAGTCAGACTGACCAAGCTGTTCCTCTACAGAAGCAGCTAAGACGAAGCGTGACACCGAGAAGGCTGCCCAGTGGGCCTGGATGGTGGCCCCTTGGGCTTGAGCATGTCTGACCGTCCCAGGCCCCGGACAGGGTGCTGGGTCAGTGCCTGGCAACCCTGGCAGGAAGCGGCCAGGCAAGGCGAGGCCTTAAATGAGATGCTTGGTTGACATGTGCTGACCTGTGGCCTCCCTCCCACCACTGGCTCAGGAGTCTGGCTCGGTCAATCCCGTGGGGACAGTGTTTGGGACCAAGGAGCAGGCCGGCTAGCCACTAAGGAAGGGACCCGAGTTACTTCAGCTGCAAGCCAGTGGTCACTTTCCCGAGCTGGCCTTCCCACACCCCCTCACCCCAAGCTGAGGCCCCTAGTGCTGCCACCTTCTCACCGTTCAGGAGCTCCAGGGCTGGAGGGCCCCCTGCAGTGTCATCTTCAGGAATGAAACAAACTAAGACCAACTTTTGAAACAAATCAGTTTCAGGCCTATGACTTCAATTGCTTTAGAAGCCTTAAACTGCTTGCAGATCTCACTTATGAGCACTTTGCTTTAAAGATAAAGCTATTAAAGTTCCCCATATGTCCCGGGCTCTTGGCCTAAGCTGGGCTCAGATGTTGCTATCAACATCTGCGTCCAGAGAGCTCTGTAATGTCAATGTTCTCATTTAAACTTCCTATAAATATTTTGTGCTTTTTTGGGGGAGTTAATTTAGTATTTATTTGCCTTTGTGTATATGTCTGGTTTTCTGAAATTTCTATTAAAAAATATTTTAAGTGATGTTTCATTTTCTCTGAAAAAATTATAAAGGAGGGGTTGTTTACCCCAGGGGTGCGCTGGGGCAAGGCCACCTCACTGTCCCCACGTGTACTCCCTCTCACAGGCACTGCGCGAGGGGGCAGCCTCTGTGTGGCGTGGCCCTCTCCCTACAGCCCCTGACAAGCTTACACGTGATGAACATGCCATGACCAGGCCAGCTCATTTCTGTTCCAAGTTACACGGAGATTCCACTTCTGTGTGGAAGCCAAAATAACAAGTTTTTCAGTAACTAAAAAGATCTGAGTTTGACATACTGTCACCGCAAGCGGCTCTCAAGTCCTCAGAAGGTCTTCATGCTCACCTGACCCGAGACAGGGCTGACGAATGTTACCTTAAATTGTTTTTTTTATTCAGCAGTTCAGGAGCAAGTCAGGGGAAAGTGGTTGTTTTCACAAGGCCCGAATTGTCTCAAAATAAAGTTAAAAACTCATTTAAAGAGGCACTCATGTAACTTACTTTTGCACAAAAGCAAGACTATGCTGCTTTTCCTGGACAGTCTCACTATTAACGCCCGTCTGCATCAGCCGGGACTCGGACCTGCTGAAGGTGGCAGGCCCCAGGGCGCGTGGCCTGGGCCGAGTGACTGTCCATCTTCCCCGCAGTGGCGAAACCATTCTTCAAACAACTGCTCTGTGTCAAGTTACTCCAGTTCCCCAGGTGGACACCCAAAGGGAGATTCTGTTCTTGGGGCTTTTTGAAAGGAAAACGTCTCAACTGTAAAACGCGCTCACGAGTCACGGAAGCTGCCCAGCCCTGCCGCCCGCAGAGCGCGGAGAAGCCCTTGTGATTCCCAGCTGAAACACAAACACTCGACGGGTAACATCTGCTTCACATCAGGAGGGATGGAAAGAAAGGGGGGCGGCCCACCCTGGTTCTGATCCTTTAAGCAAAGAAATGGGAAGCACCCCAAATCCGGGTTCTTTAGAAAAAAAAATTTATTGTTGCAACTGAAATGCAAACCCATCATGGATACGGCAAATTGGCAAACTGTACAGGTGGACAGCTCTGCGAGGTCACGGACGACCCTGAGACACGCCCCCACCATGCATCCGTGTACACACCCCTGAAAAGGCATTAGGCCAAAACACCTCAGCTTCTCATTTTGCTTTGTTTTTTTCCCTCTCCTTAAATTTCTGTAAAAATGTGTTTTTTCTCTGACCATTGTGAAAAATAACGGCCTGAGGAGTAAATATCGGCTTAAGGCATCAAGCAGAGCAGCTCACTAACTCTAACACGCGTGATGAGATGGAAAGTCACCGGTTTGCCAGGGACAGGAGGGTCAACCAGTACATCCATTTAAAACACTACTATATACACACAGCCGAACCAGTACATACATGGAGAGGACAGAACAGACAGACAAGGCCACTCCCTGCGCGGAGGGCCAGGCCCCCACGCCTCCTCCCAGGGCTCTGCAGGGCCGCATGACTGGCCTGCACTGGCATCGAACGCGTGAAAGGCAAAACGTGAAAATGCTGGCGAGGGGGCAGCTCGTGAGCCACAGCTGCCTCGGGTTTTGTTTTGTTAAAAAAGCCACCAATCAAATGCGGAGGTCTTCGTCCCCTTGAGGAAGAGTGTGAGCACCATGAGTCCCCACGGGCTGCCTGGAACCAGTCCTCAGCAAGGCCCGGGGCAGAGGGGGCACCGGGGGCAGAGTGGACGCCCAGGGCAGAGTGGGCGCCCGGGGCAGCGCCAGGGGCCCCCTTCCAGGCTGTGGATCCCGTCGGCTGCCCTGCTTCCGTGTCCCAGTCTGCTCCAGGTGAGAGCGACCTCGGAGAGGGGAGGCTGATCCCAAAGGTGAGTGGGGCCACCCTGTTCGCCTGGCTGCCCCTGCTGGGGTGTGAATATGGCTTCCCATACCCTTGGAATGTCGGAGTTCCGGTGGGGCCCGGCTGGGCCAGGGCAGGCTGGGCTCACCAGGAAGTCACCAGAGTGTGGTGCCAGGATCAAGTGTCTATTCCCGGGAAACATCCCTACTCCAGCCCCAGCCTCTGGAGCCACATCACGGACTGACAGGTCATGCGGAGTGGACGCGGACACGGGCCCATCAGTAAGCAGAAGGCTACGCGTCTCGTTCAAGCACGTGAAGTTTCATCGGGACACGGGAGACCTGACATGCATCTGACAGAGAGGAGAGCAGTGACGGAAAAGAAGCTTCGAGCAGGTAACGGGGAGGAGAGGAGCCGGGACAGTGATCTCACCTCCTGTGTCTTAAACATCAAGTGTTCATTATATACTACGCCACTGCTCTACAGAATAGCCGAAGCTCTTCTCTCGTTACCCAGCAGCACCAAAGCAGACTACTGACAACGGCTCCTTCCCAGGACTGGTCTACACAGCAGGCTCCCCAAGTCTCCCCTGCCAGTTCTACCTGAGGATTCATTATTGTACTTTTTGAGAAAGCCCTTGATGCAAGGCTGCCATGGAAAATCTTTAATACGTTACTGGTTCAGGAAAACGCTAGTGCACTGTGGACACTTTTGGGGGAGAAAAGAAACAAAAATGAAATAAATATGGAGTGAGGTCACACGCAGACTCCCTTCGGGTCTCAGGGCTGGGACGTACCCGGAGGGGCCGTGGTCACCACCTCGACACGCCGCCGTGGTGACGTGCTCCAATCATCTTGGGTGGGGTTGTGGGTCTGGAATGGGAAAGGAAGGAGCCAGGAGGAGAGGGAAGAGTGAACGGACCAGGAGGAGGCGGCGAGCCGGGAGGGCAGGTCTAGTGCAGAACCAGCGTTGTCGTCCGGCGGGGTGGCCCTCACTGACCACAGTGCCCCACTAGCTGGCCAGATGCCCCGAACGAGGCAGACAGTGGGTGGAGTGGAGGTGGAGGTGGGTCAGTTTATGTGTTGCTGTTGAACAGGAACTGGAATGAAACCAAACATTTTCAGATGAGCCCAGACACCACACCTGCAGAGCCACCAACTCATGCACGCCCCGGTCATGCCCTTGGGGTTCCCGACAGCCAGCACCCCTACGGAGGACACCCGGGCGGAAGTGACCATGGACCATGAACAGGTCCCCCGGGGGTTCCCAAGCCTGTCGGAGTCTTGTCCTCCCCTCCTTGACCTGAACAGCAACACATTCCTCATGTGGCGTGGGGACCAGATGACGGGGACTGGACAGTCGCCAGCACTGGGTGGAAATGCAATGGAGCCCGCGGGGACCGCCCGTTATGGGATGGAGTGGCGAGGGCAGCTGTGAGAAGATGGCACTTGAAGGGGAAATGCGGGGGGACCACCTGGCACCCTGAGCAAAAGCAGAAACGGCTTTATTTTGTAGACAAGACCTTGCTGTCTGCCTTCTCAGTGCATGAGTGCAGACGTGAGGTGACCGAGCCGTGACAGTGTCCCTAACCCTCTCTCCAGAGGCGCTTAGATCTGCAAACGTCTGAGATGCTTCCCTGGGAAATCAGATTTGAACTTGGCATCTGAGAACCCCATCAAGGGGTACAAATGTTTCCTAAGTGCCTCAGCTTTTTATTCCCCCAGAAATAAAAAAAAGCTGCTTTTTAGAAAGTTTAAAAACAACAATGTGTTGTAATTCTATTTTTTTTCCCCAAAAACAAATGAACAACAAAAGAAGAGAGACGTATTTGGCATTTTCTCTACTGACTCCTGAATAGTTAGGCCCTGAGATTAAACACGCGTGTTCTTGGGACCACAGGGCTCGTGACAGCCAGTGCACTACCGCTCCTTGCGCTCCTGCAGCCCTGCCACAGTTCACACTAAACACCTTTCATCGCTTTGCTCTGAGACCTGGCTCAGATCCTTCCACAGAACTCAATTCTGTACACGGGCTAGTGCCGGTGTGTCCTGGACACACTGCAGCCAGCACGTCCGTCAGTGAAAACATACCCTGTAACAGAGGTACGCTCCGGCCGTGAGGACCGTGATCATGCACACGTTGACCAGAAAGGGCGTCCAGTGGGCCAGCCCCTTGTCCTCCTCCTCCCCGGGTGGCGAGGGCTCCCCAGGCGTGGGTGCAGTGGCCAGGGTGCCCCGCTGACTCTCCTGCAGGGTCCGCCTTCGAACTTCAGTGTCTTGACTTGGGCTGTGGGATCAGAGGGTTGGAAGTGCATTACGTACTGTGGGTCAAGACCATGACCCTGGGAATCACTTCAGGATAAAGTGAACCCTTCCTCCTCCCCATAGTGTGACAATTTCGCTGCTGGCTGGAAGGACAGTCCTCTCAGAGGGTGGCTAGGACAGATGGCAGCCTCCTAGTCCACCTGTCACACCATCCTGGGCACCCACAGCCAGGACAGGGTTCTGGGGGCCTGGGGACTCCTAGGCCAGGGATCTGGACAGGGTCCATGCCACAACTAGACCCCAGGTCCCCAGCACTGACGTATCCTGTGGGGAGGACCGTTCCTAGTGGCATGTCAGGGGACTCTTCAAGGTTGGTATGTATGAACCTCGAGGGGTCCCCTGGGAGTGACCAGCAGGCGTCACCCTACCCTCCTTTTGCAGGGCCTCTCTGCCCACCAAATGGCAGCAAGGAGGGCCCTGCTCACACGATGTCCCCAGAAATGCCCTCTCCACCTCCTGACCATCTATCTCGCTGGGCCCACCAGGACCCTGAAGTACCGTCTCCATAAGAGATGGGAAAAAGCCTGCACAAAGCACTCGCTGAGGCTGGGGCACAGGCTCCCCTCCAGGGCCAGCACAACAGTCACAGAGGCTGGGGTGCAGGTGTACCCCTGGGGTACAGCAGCACTTTGGTTCCTGGGCCAATTCCAGGCTGTCCTGGCCTCTCTGGCTTTCACTTCCTGACACACAGCTGTCCCCCAGGGGTGAGCAGCACAGAGAAACGCTGCATGGGCTCCAAGTCACCGTTGGCTCTCGGCTCCCTCCTGGTCTCCATCAGCCCTCGGCTGGACCGGGTCTGGCCTGCAGGTTGAGATGTGCACCCGACAGTCCCCAGAAATGGGCAGGGCCTCCCTGAAGCGAACTGCCGTGAGGTCTCAGCTCACCACACGGCCTCTGTGTGGGATCACTGGTCTAAAGTCAGAGGTCACTGTTTCCAGTGGCCTTTGCCCGAACAACACTGGAGACTCAGGTCCATGGGTTTAGACTGGCAAAGCTGAGCCTGGTGGTTGGCCGTGCAAGGGCCCACGGGTGTATAGAGCACGTCCAGAGGGCCTCTAGGTTATGAGTGAGACGGTTTCTCAGGGCGAAGCTAGTCAGTCAGCACAGCAGCATGGGGCTCTTAGCCGCACGTTAGCGTAAGAAGGCACATCGGCGGCCTTGGCTGCTGGGAGCGGCGATGCCGGCACAGGGGCCCTGCCTCCTGACTTCCCCAGCTGCCCTGATGGAGAAAGTCAGACACTCTCATCCCACATGACCAACAGTCTTGGAGACCCCAAGAGAGGGTGCGCTGTGAGTCAGTTTTGTCTTAATGAGTTCTGAGTGAGTATAAAGCAAAAAAAGGGATTTCAAGGCGACAAACGACGGTGACTGTGAAGGGCTTGCTGTGAAGTGTGTGGCTCAGCTATTTCAAAACGAGGGCAAAGTCCCAAATACCATTAAAGGACAAGCAGGTGTCATTCGTGAGTGGACATCTGTAACATCAGGACAGCCTGTACCCCAATGCACCCCACCCCGCGCCCTCAGCACACCCACAGCTCCTCTCCCAGCTGCAGAGGATGCCAACGCAGGGCCCGGGAGAATAGCTCACAGCTAGCCTTGCACCAGCAGAGATGAGCCCACTTCAACACCTGTGTCCTGTCCACCTGCTTGGCACTCCACGATGTCTACACAGCTGCTGAGTCCGCGTGCACGTGGCCTCACCATGCCCGGAGCAGCCTCCAGCTGGGGCTCACTCGTCTCTGTGCTGCAAGCCCAAAGGCACACAGTTCAAACCCACCAGCTGCTCTGCGGGAGACTGACAGGTAATCTCACCCGTGACATTTATTGCCTCTGAAAACGTGCTAGAGGGTCAGCTCTGAGTCCGTCCCGGTGTCCCCGCAGTCGGCTCCCTGCAGTCTTCCCTGACTAGCCGCGACAGCAGTGTCTCTTCCCTAGGCCCCAGCACAGTCTGGTTTAGGTCTGCCTTCTCCCCATCAGGAGCTCCTGGAAACCAGGCCTACGCTCCAGTTACCTCTACCTCAGGGGTCCAACACACATCACAGCGCTCAATCGGTGCTGTCAAACTTTAAGGAAGCAAAAGGTGGTGTCCTGGGGTGCAGTCTACAGTGGTGGACTACTAAGCAAAGGGAAGCAAGGGCATTGTCAACTTGAGAGGACCCCCAGTGGCCAAGTCTCACACTGCAGGGCTGACCGATGCCAAGGTCACTGCCAGCTGCAGCCCCTTTCCCACCAGTGTGCGCCACAAGGGGGCGCTAGAGCTCCACTGGCGATGCTTGTCTAGAGTCAGGCAGTGACCAACAGAGGGGACGATGCTAGACCAGAGCCACGCAGTGACCTTCGGCCAGGCAAGTCGTCCTGCCTGGGGAGGGGCCACTGTGGGGTCAAGGGTTCAGGGGCACAGCACGCCCAGAGGAGACCACCCCCACAGATAATCAAAGCAACAGGCTTTTCTGAAAACTAGACCATTTCCCTTCACTTGCAGCAAGCCAGGCCCATCACATTACCTTTCCACACCGTGGGAGACATTTAGGGGGGTTCTGGTTTCCGCCTCGATGACGTCTTCTCCCTGGCCCTCCTCTGTCTCATCCTTCACCCACTGGTGATTGGGGAAGAACTCCTTGCATTTCCCATTGTATGGCTCCAGGCGTTTGGGGGGCCGGGGTGGTGGGGGGACGTGCTCAGGTGGGGGTTCCAGGTCCTCGTGGGACAGCTCCTTCCATTGCTCCTTGAAAGGACAAAAGGAAGCTCGGTGAGCACTCAGGCCCTGAGGCAGACGGAGATGTATGTACGTGCGCACGCGCGCGCGTGTGTGCGTGTGAGAGACACACCTTAATAAGCTCCCACAGGTGACCTGCCACACTCCTGGGAGGGGAGATCTTTGTGAACCAAGTCCACCCTGTTCATCACTGCTCTATCTGAGCTTTTTTTTTTTTTTAAAAAAAATCTTATTTTATTAATTTTAATGAACATTTACAGAGATTTTGGATTTCCATTCATTCATTGTTGCACTTTTCTCTCTATCCTCCAGTTAGCTCCTCTCTTGCTTTTCTTTTTTCTTTCTATAATTATATTTTATTAATTTTCATAAACATTTACAGAGATTTTGGGCCTCCACTCACTCATTGTTGCACTATTCTCTCTACCCTCCTCCCAGTTTGTTCTTGTCCAAATGCCACAGTGTCTATCTGAGCTTTGAAGAAGAAACGAACACTGTCCAGCTACAGGAAGGGTACAACTTCCTCTGCCAAGAGAGCTTCCTGCCTCCTTCTTCAGAATTACTGAAATCCACACGCCAGGCTGGCCTGAGGCCAGTGATGCCCACCTGAACTGAAGAGTCTCCCATGATGAATTTGGCACCTTCGATCACGGCCAGGTAGGAGAAGCGGAGCTGGTCTGCTGTCTGGATCAGCCCCATTCGGTATTTCCTCATTTCTAACAGGACTTTCTTAATATCAACAGAAGACGGGTCTTTCCTTTTGTCCATCTGGAAGGGAAAGAGGGGAGACCATCCTTTCAGCCCTAAGTCTCAATGTCCTGTGATCGAGCTTATGCGTTGGAAAGACCACTGGGGGTGGGTGGGCAGAGGACTCCAGGACCTGTGAGAGAAGCAGCAGAACCATGGCCACCTCACACTGGTGCCTGAGAAGGGCTTAGCGGAGACGATGGGATTCTCTGGATCTATCTGGACTCTACGTGAAATTTAAGATCGTCCACATGAACAAACTATACCAGAGGGAAGAAGTAGTTGTGAAAAACAGAAGGTCAAAGCCAGCGTGGCTGAGGCAGAGAAGCGCTGACGGACAGCTGTGGCCAGGCCTGGAGGGACGTGAGCACCAACACGCCTGGCCCACCTGCGGGACCTCCTTACCAGCAACAGGCAGGTGTCAGCCAGGCAGAAGGTGCCCGAGCGGCCGATGCCCGCGCTGCAGTGCACCACGATGGGGCCATGCTCCAGGCTCAGCGAGCCTGACTCCCGGACTTTGAATAGAAAGTTCAGGAATGAAGCTGGTGATTCGGGGACTCCAAAGTCAGGCCACGTGGTATAGTGGAAATGCAAAATCTCTCGAGTCTCCTGAGTCTGAAAAAGAAAAACAGTCATGAGGATTTGAAGAGAATCACCAGGCAGTAATCAGGGTCCTGAGTCAACGCAGTGTGACTTCCCATCATCTAACCCGGGGTGGCTTCCAGGCCCGGAGATTCCCCCGGGGTCCACTCCCCCGCCAACCAGCCCCGCCACACTTGCAGTGCCAGCAGCAGGGCAGCAGAGGGTGAATAAGCTTCAGGACGCTTCCTTCAGCTGGAAACACTCTCACAGGGCCCTCCCCAATGTGGGCCTGCACCAGATGTGGCTGCACCAGAGATGCCACCACCTCCCATCCCTGCCCCTGCCCCCCAGAGCTCCTGGTACTGTGACAACCCTCTGCCTGGGCTGACCACTGACAGGACCCGACATGATGGCCGAGCACATGTCTACGGGGGGAGGAGCACAGTCTACGGGGGAGGAGCACAGACTACGGGGGAGGAGCACAGACTACGGGGGAGGAGCACAG